CATATAAAAAAAAATGCGCAAAAAGAGTCTGTCACTGTGCATTAGCGAAATAATTGATTTGGCTGTCAAATGAGAGGAGATCGTATTGTGTTTGGCAAGAGAGAGCGAGCGAGCGAGGAGACGGCGGCTGCAAAAGTAATCAAGTAGCACTTGATAGGGCATGATCGTCGCAGCCCTATCAAAAAGAGATCATTCAATCGAGCGCGCGCGCGAGGCACCATAAGAGAAAATCGAACCTGCTTTTTCTCGTGGTGCGGCATCGGAACTGCAGAGAGGATCAAAACAAACTAAATAAGAAAAGTTAGAAGTCTCTTGTCTTTCCACAATATTACTTGAAGCAGTCAAACTGACTCCATCGTAATAATGTTTTTATGGGAAGGGAATTGATAAGGGAACGTTTCGTCTTGGAAAATTAACTGAAGCTCAATTCAAACCTCCAGTGAGGCTAGAGTCAACTAGTAGGGATTTGGGGAGTCGATTCATTTGACATTTAGAAACAATACATGTTTTGAATTATGAATCCGGGAGCAAATTTTTATCTTTGACGAAATCTAATTGAGAACTACTTTAAGAGGTTTTAAAAAAATCAGATTTAAATTGTGAAATAAAATCGCTCTTTTTCTGAAATCTATCATTTAACAAGAAGAAAGACCTAGATCATGAATCATGAGATCTAATTAAAACGATTTTGTTAAGAGGGTCACATTATTAATTAATGCTTCTTTTTTACATATTATTACTGAAACTAAAGATTTTGCTCTTTTAAACCTGTTTTATCAACATAAAAACGGTAAATCGTAAATACTTTTTATTTTATATAAATTTATATGAATATTTTTTTAAATAATTTAATACCAAAATAATGTTTCACTAATTTAAAATAAAATTTGTAAACTTTAATTATTAATTAAACTTTTAAATTGTTGTGTCAGCATTCACTGTTGCCGTCAGATCCAAGTGAAAAATGACTGAAGTTGCGCAGAGCTGCTGAAAATTCTACGCGAGTGTATCAGACGCTCGCTCGTCTCGGACTTTTCTCTCCGCAGAGAATTACTCAAGGAAGCAGAGGTGTCGGATGGTAGTTCAAAAATTTGACAGCTCCACTTTTCTCTTTTCCTCTCTCGCTCTCTATCTTTCTTTATGAAATTTTTCACGGGGCTGACGGTTACAAATTAGGCAGCAGCAATCTTTGTTGGGACCATATCCGCCGGGGGCAAACGCAAAAACAATTCGGAGGCGGTGGTGGACGTGCCGCGTGAATGGAGGCCCCGGATTATCCGTCATCAGTATTCCGAGGGGGCCTCGCAGCCGCGCGCTAAAGCAGACTTAGCATGCACCACCACGAGCCAGCCGCTGGCCCACCACCCTAATTGACGCGCCCTGCCTGCCCGCCGCCGCCGCCGCCGCCGAGTTACCTCAACACGTCGAATTACGCCAAATTGAATCATGCTGCCAATTAATCTGCCCAGCAAGCCCAACCGACCAGCATTGCCCAACTTGCGACCCAACTGTTAACTACCTGTGAGCGCTTCTTCCTGTCTGCTCTTGATTAAAGACACCCTAGTAACCAGAGAAGAATTCTAATTTCATGCAACTTCAATTTGAAATCGGAAAAAATTGTAGTGTGCATGAAATTAAACTGTTGAAAATGACTTACGAATAATGTTTCCAGTAATTTGTTTAAATAATTGAAATCCAAAAGTCATTAATTAATACAAAAAAATAACATGAAATACCTCCTGTAAACAAAATGAAATTCACAGTAAGTCACAATGGTTATTTCTTTAAAAATAAATAAAATTTAAATATGTATGACAAAAATCTCTTTGTTTCCTATAATCATAGCTTTTGTTCTTGGAATGGTGATTTCTGATTTGTTCAAAAAATTTGAGGATAGGATATACTGACAGCTAAAATTGGATTTCGCCTTCATAAAGAATTAAAAGTTTACTTTTTTTATGAAATACATTGATTCTTATTTAACGCGAGCTACTTACATACACAGCCAACTTTTTTGTGTCATTTTTAAACTAATAATGCCATTAAATTTTAATGGCAAAATATATCAAAAGCATATTTTCTTACTTTTAAAAGTTTTAAATCTAAATCTTCCATTATTTACTAATTATAGAGGGAATTTTCTGAGCGCGCTTTATTAATAAATAAATAAAAATATTAACGCTCATGCCAGATTACTTTCATCTTTATTGGGTCAAATTTCAACTGCAAGGAAAAGTATTCGCGAAGATCTAGAAAATAAGTTTTGTCTAGAAAATAATTAAATAAATAATTTGTCTAAACAAAAAAGTTTAAATGTGTTGTTTTTTTTATCTGAAGATTTTTATGACTTTTATTTGTAACGGGGCAGGCGTGTAGTATTATAAATTTAACACACCGCTGAGTCTATACCTGCTAGAGACAAAACAAAAATCTCATTCCTGCGTGCGGCGGAGGCGTGTTTTCCCATTTCACACTAAAAATAGTGGCGCGTTCCCAGCGGACCAGTAGCTTTTTGTTTTCTTTGCCCTCAGTAGCAGCTCGTTTTCGCTGCTCCTCTCGGTTTTCAATCCAGCCCCTGCTTGATAATCCACCCTTTACTGCTCAGACTTCTGTTACGAGGGTCGGCGAGGTTTAACCCGGCAATTATCGCTCTAATTAACTGGCTAGCTCGCCGGCCAGGGCAATTATTTTGGCAAATCTCGAAACTGTGCGCAGCAGAAGCAGGAGGAAACTTTCGCCAATAATCAATATTATACTTTTGTTATCTCTAATGGTAAAGTTTTATTTAAATAAATAGTAAATTTTAAAGCGAAAGTTGCAAAATACAACGAAATAAATCAGAATTAAGAAGAAAGGAAAATTCTTTTAGCAAAACTGTCCTGCTAGATAAGAGACTCTATTCAAGGTGTAAATTCTTCTCTCACCGGCCCGGAACAGGTCACCACAAAGAAGAACAACAACAATGGACCTTTTCTCAGAAGACGCGAATTTCTCTCTCTTCATCCAGCATAAACACACTTCAGGAAAATTTACTCCATTCTCATTGGTTTCATTATATGTGCGCGCCCGTTTTCTTTTTCTTCTTTTGATTATGAAGAAGAGGGAAGAATATACGCGTGATGTAAAAAAGGAAAAATTTATAGTTGCACACCCGTGCAGATAAAAGAGACCAAGCAGGTGGGCCAAAAATAATGGGCCGCGCCTCCTTTCTTTGTCGACCACATTCAAATTTTGAGTCAAAAAGTTAAAAACGTTGCCTCTCGCCTCCTTTTTCAGCCAGCAAACTCGCAATTACTTGGAGCGAGCACCACGCTCTTTTAATCAGAAAGACGAACCAAGGGAGGAAGGAAAATCATCCCCTGCTTTTCGGGATTCGGTTACTCTCTCCAGTTTTCAGGATGCTTGTTTCCCTTCGCACGAGAATCCAGCGCAAATTAAAACGGGGCCAAGGGTTGCTGCGCTCCATGAAAAAAAATCAAAGAGTTGCTGCAAAAATCCAGCCAGAATTTTGAAGATGGTGCAAGGTGGAAGAGAAGCTTTGAAGCTTTTAATTTCAATACGAACAAAATTACAAAGATATGTTTTTTATTTTATTAAATACTGGATTTCAATTTAATTAGGTGATCTGTTTTTATGGCTATAAATTCTGAAAGCAAATATTTATTACTTCTTCTTTGCCAAAGTTAAAAAAAGTAAATTTTAAAAGTAAAAAGGGGTACTGCTGACACTTTTATTAGCAAAACAAACTTAACTTTTATAGTAAAGGGCGTTTGAACCGACTTATACGCTGCTGGAATATGAAGCATCATAAAGACATAAAGAGAAGGATATCTCATTTCGCACGCACGGCGATAAAAGGAAGAAAAATTTCTGAATGGGAACCCGCGTCCCAAGGGCGCTGTTTGATATTTCCACACTCCGGCGAGGTCCATTCTGTGTGCCAAGACCTTATTCTCAGACCGTTTTCCCAAACATCAAGACGCTTTTTGCTTTTCCGACGAGAGGAAAATAAGACTTGGAGCAGAAGACGTCCGAGGGAAAATAGTGTGGAAGGGTGCCAGGAAGGCGTGTTTGCATTTCGCGGAAATGTATCGGGCCTTTTATCAGTGTTTTTCCAGCATGCAAATTCTCGTCTCGCGAATACAAAAGGAGCACCAAGAAGAAGAAGAAAAAATGCACGGCCGTTTTATGGCCCCGCAAGCCGCTTCAATTGACTTGTAAAATGTGATTATAATGCGGGCGGCTCTTTTTAGGCGCGCACAATGTGCAACAGCCAACAGACTTGGTTAAGAGAAGGGGATGAAAAAGATTTTCGCTCCATTGAATTTGATCTGGAAAAGACGTCGGGCCCCATTTTGGGAATTTAGAGCTTATATTAATTGGCATTTAAATTTTACTTAAAAGGGAAAAGACATTGCTCGGAACATAGATTGTGAAGTAAAAATACACCATATGATTTAATTTTGTAAAACTGTAATGAAATAATTCATGAAAGTGACAAAATAAATATTCATATATAATTTATAAAATGTATTTTTCAAATAATAAAAATATTTTGAGCAATTCAGCCATTTCAATAATTGTTTTTAATGCTTATCAAGCTCTCAAGAGATAATAATTGTTAAAACAATATCAGTAAACAGTAACAATTAATTAATTGCAATAAATAAATTCGTAATTAACTAACCAGCAGTAAATGAATAAATCTATTAAGAATCCTGAAATTGTATTTCGGATAAACTGGAAAGGCACTACTTCATTTTTTATTTTTACTTTGTTATATTTTGCACCTGTCAGTTGCAATTTTTTCCCAATTGATGGCAAACCCGAGCATAATTATTCAAACGTATAGTTCAAACAGAGGTTGCAAAAATACGGGAGAGAGGGAAGCCTCTGTGTTGGCACCGCGCAATAAATAATTCAAAGGTCATGCGTATCGGAAAGGCTGGAGTGGGGCTCGCGGGGGGTGGATTTGGCAGACGATTTGCGGCATTACTCACGTTTGCAGGCCTTGCGGTGCGTGATGGACTTGGTGGCGTCGCGGTAGTAGCCCTCGCGGCAGTAGTGGCAGTGGCGTCCGGCGGTGAAGTGCCGGCATTTGAGGCACACGCCGCCCGACTCGCGGCCCGACAGTTTGTACAGCTCCATGTTGAAGCGGCAGCCGCGGGCGTGATTGTTGCAGTTGCACGCTGAAACACAATCAACGGTCCCGTTAATTAATCATGCGCGTCTCGCTCATCTCATCATCATCAGCACAGCGCAGCGTCCCCCGACACACAACCCCTTTTATATTCACAACCGCCGCTGCTGGCTATGCCAGAGCCAGAGAGGCCCCGCCGTAATTACGCGTCCTGTGATTAAAACGCTGTGGCGATGCTGCTTTTTGTTTTCCAGTTCATTCTCTGCGCCTTCATAAACGTTTAATTGTGCCAATTTGAAGCTCTCTCGAAGCGAAATTTCTTACGGAAAACGCTAAAAGTTTGAAGAGGCGTCTAATTACTTTTGAAAGTTTCTTCAGAATTATAAAGGATCTGAACTAATTACAAATTTTCACACGGATTTTCGTAATTTGTGGTTTCTTTGTTAAAGTTTTAATTTTAAAAGGCGCATCATAGGAAGCTTATGAAGTTATTATTTTTTAATCAAATAATTAATCATGATTGAATATAAAACGGATTAATTTATTCCAAGTGGTTACATTTCCTATAATGTAATTCTTATGGTCAACTTTTAAGATGATCAGAACTGTGATGAATAAGCACAATGAAACAAATGAACAAAAAATACCCCTTATTTCCTACATAGGCAGCCGTGTGAACTCTGGAGACTTGCAAGTTGCCTACCTTTTTAAATTAAGATAATGGTGAAGTAAGATTGAAGGTAGATTCTGGAATAAAAATGAAATACTAGCAATCATTAGCAAAATGGTTTCGTTCGTGTGTCTTAACAAATTTATTTAATGAATTATACGAGTTTTGAAAATTTAATTAAAATAATAAGTGTGTAACAATGGATAATATTTACCTTTAGAAAATTTAAAATCACTAGATACTTTCCTTGCCCTAACCCTATCTGTTTCACGATAATAGAACAAAATATAATAAAACTATAAAGATTTAAAACAAAATGTAATATTTATTGTTATGGAAGAATATTTTTAATCATTTTTTACTATTTTAATTGATAATTTTTTAAATATGGTACTAATTAATGTTTTTTATTTTCCTGGAGAAAACATATGAAAATTTTTACATTAAACTTGAAGTTCACAATGGTCCCATTTTTTGGTTTTTGTTTTGTGTGATTTTGATTATAAATATAACGTTTTTAAGTTGCTCTCACCGTCAATGTTATTTTCATTGAGAATAATCTACATCACTAAAGTTTTTCAAAATTTTCAAATGAATGACGGCGCATATATAAAATTGTAATAAATAAGATGTTAACATATAATAGTCGTGGATTAATTAAATTATCAATGAATGTCTCACTATTTGTTGTTTTTTAGTTTTTACATTTTCATATTACAAATAAAATATTGAGGTTTAGTTAATTTATTGTGGTTTTAAAAATTGCAAGTTACGCAGACAAACAAATTTAATTCAAACAAATTCTGAATCAAAATTTTAAAAGTCCCGTCATTATCAGTATTATCACGCCTCTTTGCCGCCATAACAAGTTGACGTAAGTCAAGTCAGAGAGCAAGCAGTGTTTTGGTTCTGCCGCTCGTCAAAATCAATCTCCGAATAGCTCTCGAGAGAGACGGAATTGTCTGCGAGCCGATCGGCGAGACGAGGAGCAGAACTGCTGCTGTATAATTAATGGGCCGCCGTGCACTTGTTGGCTTAATTTCACATCACACGCAGGCAGAGAAAGATAATTATTCAAGGAGTATAGTAGTGATCCAATTAGCATGTGACGCAGCACTTTCCTCTCCTGGAATTTCTCTCTGATCTTTTGTTTCGATCTCATGCTGATAGTGCAATTTTCATTACACACGTGTGCACTTGCCGCCGCCGCCGCTTCGAAAACTAATAAGCACGGCGTGCCGGCAATTTCCTCAAAATTAATGCCGCCGACCGCACGCATTTCGCGTTGAATATTATCGCAGGGAGCGGCGCATTCCGAGGGAGGAAGCGTTCGCGGCGCCAAGCTTGGCAAAACGCTTGATCCGCAATTTCGAAAACACCTCTGATTTAGTTTCTAATAACAGGGAGACTACAGTACACCGCCATTTATGAGAAGAAACTTTACACATGTACTGAAGTTCAGTTTCCATGCAGTCTGTAATTACTTAAGTAATTATACAGATAGGGGTGTGAAGTACTTCAATAAATTGCTTCGTTTTCTCACATGCTGAAAGCATTTTGCTTCAAACGTATTTCTCGGTTTGGGGAAGAGGAGTTTTATAGTTTTACCAACTGGGGGTGAAAATGGTACAAATTTCTCCCTCTGTAAATTTGTTTTCAACATGATATATGATTTATTCGAAATATAATAATAATTTTCGTGGAAAAAATTAATTCTTACAAATTAGTTTCAAAAGGAGAATCTTTCATTGGGTTCAAAATAAGGGCAATAATTAATATCTAATATTTATTTTTTGAAAAGAAAAAGTTTTCAGATATGTAATATTTTGTTTCAAATTGCTACAGAATATGATTAAATTCAAATAGCTGGTCATAATAATTAATTGTGTTTTAAAAAAATGCAATTTGTATGACTCTCAGGCACTTGACTGTTTCAAATAAAACTAATTCAAAGCGTCTGCTGCGACTGCGAAAAAGAAATTCTTTGTAGAATTAGCATAAAATATGAATTAGTTATACATAAGATATTCTGCAATAATAATAAAACTTTACCAGACTTGTTTTTCTTGCAATAAATTCTGCTTGCAATTACTTTAAAATCCTTCCTTCAAGCAGGATACAATTTGTTGTAATATTCATTACTCTGGGAAAGGCGCGGGTTATGAATTTTCATATCCACTTCCACCTCACTAATTATACAAGATAAAATTTCTCGTCCTTATTTTTAATATTCAAGCTTCAAGTGTATTTATAAAGCATCAGAAGAGCCTCGAGAGACTGGAATATAATTCAATAAATAAGGTAAAAATAAACAACCGATGGCAATATGTGGAAGATGAAAACCGATAGATCTAATCAAGATGTTGGTCTACGTTGTGTATGATTAAGTTTATATCCAACATGCGTGGAAGTCGCATTGATTTATTTGCTTTCTTAATGAGTATCCATGTTCCGAGTCGAAAATCTCGGCAGCTTCTTTCGTCGCCCGGAGACATTTGCCGAACGAGAGTAGCAAAGGGCCTCTCTCGCCTGCCTCTCGAGATGAAAGCAAACACCAGACACGCACTCGCGTTATTTGCGCAAACATCAATTAACCAAATCGTAAATGAATGAAAGTGAGTGGCGCGCTTGTAAATAAATACGCAAATTAGTATGAGGCGTTCAGAGACTTTTCAGGAAGGAGACAGAATTTAAAGTGAATGGAAATTTCCCGCGGCCGCGAACATATAAACTTCTCCTTTTTCGCGACTTGAGAGGAGCCGCTGGAGGCGCGAACAACAAAAATACATATACAAATTTGCATCTCATCCTCAAGCTGTTGGGAACAAACTTTGCTATTATAGTTATTGGCTCAAATTGCGCGCGTTCGTTTATGCCTCTGAACAAGTTTTATTGCTGCCGGCGTTTTTTCTCAGAAAATTGAAATAACTCATGATTAAAAAGAAACTGCAGTGTTTTTGTTTATTTGAGCAGCTGCAGTTGATATTGAATTGTATAAATGAATGTAGTCTTGGGAAAAGCATTCCTTGAATTTCCATTCAAAATTTACAATACTATTCCTATTTCAATACCTCCAGCATTTAATTTTCAAATTGATATGCTGTATTTGTGCAATTCAAAAATTTCAAAATAATTATTGATTTCATTGTCTTCCCGACAAAGAGAGATCATCTATAAATTTACTAAATAATAATTTTTTTAATATCCTGTAAAAAATAAAAAAAAGTATGAACATAAAACATAAGGCACTTTTTGTCAAAGAGACGATATAACATTAAAATTATTTTCCTTTGTTAAATAATAAAAATAACAATAAATTTGTACATAAATATTTACAGTTTTTGATCCATTTATTACTGGTAAATACTCTTTCTTATTTAATAATTTTAGCTACTATTATTATGATCAGTAAAGTTCATATTTTCAATTATAATAATACAAATATGCGTGCATTGCCACACATTTGGATCAAAAATTCTGTAGAAGTTTCTACTTATGAATATCGCACTTGTCTAAATTTTGAATTTCACAATGAAATGCTAGAAAAATGGTTTACTGCTGCGTCAGGACGTTAGGGTTGTGCACGTCGGGTTAAATCTCTGCACTTGGCCCAGCGGCGGAGTAATGGAGTTTCACAACTAACTTTGGCAACCAAACGACTCGTCGGGAAATTTAGGAGGCCCGGAAATCTCCGCTTTGCAGCAGCGAGCCGACGAGGATTCGCAAAATTAATGTCGGCCCAGATTTAATCGCTCTGCTGTTATTTGTGCCCAACTCTCTCTGTATAAATTTACCTCCTCTTTCGGCGTCGTTTCTTCTCAACTTATACCACCAGCAGCATATACAGCAGAGGAAAGACGAATTTGATCTGCGCCGGGGGCGGTTTGGGAGCGGGGGCGGCACAGAGATGAGACTAATGTGCCGCCCCCGGCTGCGCTTCCAAGATACATGGCTATGACATTAGCAGGGCCCCCTCGGGCCCCTGGTGCCCCCCACCCCTGACGAGCACAAAGAAAAGCCAGGCAAGCCGCCGCCGCCGCCGCTTTTCCGCCGATTTGCTGCCGCTGCAAATAATGAACTTTTGCCCCTCGTAACTTTTGCCTTTTTATTTTCTGCTGCTGTGGTTCTTGCTCCTCCGCACACACACGGTCCGATGTACATATACAAGCAGCAACTCTTCCCAACTTCAAAGGGGAATCAATTGCCACCGAATCTTTTGTTTGAGAGAGAATTTTTTTGACAGGGGACAAATTCAGGTTTTGATCTTTGATGGATTGCTCTGTTTGTCTGTCGGCTTATGCCGTTTTATTTTCGCTTTCGCAGCTCCTCTGTTTTCAATGTTGCGTCACTCCCCTCCGTTTTGGAATCAGCTGCATTCG